ATACACCAATTTAGCTTTCTACAGGGTGTCTCAAATAGCTCCAAGTCTTTTTAAATCGACCCCAAAATAAGTTTCCTAACCTATCGTGCTACGGTTTTGTGCAACGTTGCTCACGTGTGGTGCATTTTTTTAAAATAAAATTTGCAAAGAACAAATCTACCTGAGAAAAAAAGAAGAAAAAAAAAAGCTTAACTCCTATGGAAACCCAGCGAAGCCACCGGTCTTCAAACAATGGGGTGCCGTTTGGAACGGGAGACAAGAGATGGCGAGAGACAGCGTCATTAGCAGACGATGTTTACGACTCAAAAGAGGCGCGCGTTCCGCAGGCGGCGGCAGTCACAGAACCAAGAACAGGGGGGGTAACAAGAAGAAACTACAACGCAGAAGACTTAAATACCCCCCCCCCCCCCCAAAAAAAAAAAAGCGAACAGTTAAAATAACCCGACAAACCATTTTTTCAATCCATTATGTGCCCATTCAATCTGTTTTATTAGTAAGGATGATAAAATCATGCATTGGCAACTGAGATCGATAAAGCTCGCGCCGCTTTTGAGTCGAAAATATTGTCTGCTATTTGGCACAGGCTCACGGCGCCGTATGATCGACCGTTGGCGGCAGTTAGCGTCGTGACCACTTGGCCATCTCTTGACTCCCGTACCAAGCGGCACACTATCGTTTGGAGACCGGTGGCTTCGCTGCGTTTCCATAGGAGTTAAGCCTTTACCTTTTTTTTTAAATTTTCCTCAGGTAAGTTTGCTTTTGAAAATTTTATAGAAAATATGCACCACCTGTGGGCAACGCTGCACAAAACTGTAGCGCGATAGGTTAAGAAACCGATTTTGGCGCTTGATCTAAAGAGCCTGGCCGCTATTTGAGAAACCTTGTATAATGAATTTCATGCATTATAGAAATGAAGATAAAGGTTGCTATTATTTTGGTTTTACGTTTTGCTTGTTACATATAAGTTTTGCTTGGAAGACTCTGCTCTATGATAGTAAAAGTGCGAATGTTCATGTTGTTTTACGATATGCGTACGGGTAAAAAACCAAACTATCTTGTGTATGACTTACTTTGCAGTCCAAACCAGCCCAGGCGACACCGAGGTCACCAAGATATATGACGTGAACTTCAAATGCAAAAACGCCAAGAAACTGTTAAGCACAGTTTGTCCAGAACCCTGCAACCTAGAACTGACTCGAGAGCTGTCCAACGAATGAACCCCATATTGTTTCCCACATACTCCGTTATCGGATTTTTTGGGGCATTGTTTTGTTATTATCTACCCAAATAGACTTTGTAAACTTCAAGCCCGTGCTCTTCAAATGTGCAGTGCATCTAATTATTTTTCGTTAATTAGACCTCTTAATTAGCTTCCTTAATATACTTTTACTACAGATTTGATAAATACAATAAATGTTTTAAAGCAAATAAAATGTTTATTCTCTTTGAATCGTAGATCTTCAAATCATGATGAATATATCACGAAGGAATCATTTTTGTTTCCAGTCTCTTTTCAACTCCTTTTCGTTTAAAAAAAAATAAAGTCTGCATAGTGAAATGAGGGTTACTGCGCAAAGAAACTCATAAACGATCGTAGTAAAAACAAAACAATAAACATTGAGACTAGGCACAAACATTGGACAAAACAACACAATACAACGCTACGCAACACGGTGTTGTCCAATTTTTCACTTGTAATAGCTAGACAACGGGATCACAATATCTGAGGTCTTAATTTTAAAGGTGAATAAGGTATCGCTTATTATACTTATACATTATACTTAAAAAAAAGTTCAGCCTTTCCACTCTCGTGAAGAGGGAAGACCCGCGGAGCTGTTCTCGATACACTGCCGCAACGCGCACGATCCGGATTCCAGCCTCCCATCATGAGTCCAAACCCATCCCACCCGCCGACCCATCGTGAGTCCAAACCGAAACTGATAAGAACGATTCCACAAATATCAGCATCATATAATTAAGAATTTATTTGGCAGGGTCACAGTCTTTCGTAAATCTGTAATAATTTATTTTTTTAAGTTTAAGTGCCATTAAGTTTAACGTGCACCATGGTGCAAGAATATCAAGAACAAACTTCTGCAATAGACTGCCACAGGGTTTTGCAACCATCAGAGACAGCAAAATCACTTCTGAAAAGTACTTAAAATAAATTGCCCATTACTTTCCTCAAAATAGCGAGTATAGTTAAATAACATTACCAAGTACAGCAAACTAAAAGTATTTGCATTACATCACAATTACTTTTAGAAATAACAAAACTACCTGCAATATACTTTACATTTTCTTACTTGATGGTTTTAGGAAGATGAGGATGACGTTTATTTAAACAGCTAATTTAAGTGCACGAAATGCACTGAATAAAAGAGGCTTGCTGTGCTCGGTTGTCGTTGGCCGTGATGGCGTTCTCGCTCGCTTTTTCTATTCTTTTTTTGGTTTGTATATTGTCTTTTTTTTTTTTTAAACGCGCCCATGACAACCGAAGTGTTAAACACAGTGAAGTGATTCTAAAATGATGAGCAAAAACAGACAGCTCACTGCTTTCGCTGTTCACTCAACGACGAAGTTGATCGGTTAAGGGTTGATGCGATTCGGTCAGGATTTTGCAAAGGTTTTCAATTTTGGTTGGTCGGGCCATGGCAGCTCATTTTAACATGAAGAAGTAACTATTCTTGCGAGACGTACTAAACTGCCCCTATGTGCCTTTGACAAATGGGATCCATGGTTTCCGAATCAATTTTGCACAAGATTGAGGAAATGCCTAAAACTGCTTACTTCCGACTCGGACGCAGTCGAATATTTTCTCTCAAGAGCATTGGTCGACACGTTCCCAGACATACTTCTCGAGGAGTATTGTTCCATAATATCAAATAGCACGAATTATCTCACCCTGTCACGTAAGGGGACCGGATGTTTTTTTAGGGAGAAACGCCACCGGAGAAAGGAAGGGGGTGGGGGGCGCCCCCTGCAATATGTCCTTCCATAAAGAACCACTGGCTATATCTGCGCGTTTGTTTTTCTCCGAGTTAACTTCGCAATGTGAGCCTGCTTTGCTCGCTTTTTGCCGTTTCTGACTATATTCCTTCATCCTTAAAGGGCCCATGAAACGATTTTTGGCTAAGGATAAATCATTTTAGATTGGGATTTTACTAATAGCACATCGTTCAGTGGGTCAAAAAAAAGGTAGAAAGTCAAAAGCTTGACTTTCCGTGCGAAAATTTGAAAACACAGCGGACTATTTCGTACCTCCTCCCCTTCGTAAGCTCTCTGTCTTTTCACTGTGATACATCCGCGGTCCCAAAAGCGCGTCATCGGGTCCAAACTGACGTCACACGAAACCGGACCTCATTTAGTCCCTTCACCCCTAAGCTGACATTGTGGTGGAAGCTACGCGCTTGCCGGACCAATCAGCCGCCTCCGTTTCATCACCTGACCTCATTCTCTGCAGCCACATTTGCCACGGTCACGTGGCAAAAGTGTGGCTAGCCCAAGGAGCACGTAGCTTCCACATCACTGTCAGCTTAGGGGTGAACGGGGTAAGGAAAGAAACTTCTGCCTGAATTTTGAGCGACGGAATAATCTTCTAGGGTGACAATGGCTCTCTCCGGGTACACAAACCAGGTTCTGAGCGAGAGGGGCCTCCCCTCTTTTAATCTTTTTGAACTGTTTGGTGGAATGCGCGATTTATGAGTTGAGGAGGAAAGCGAAACAGGAAAAAGTTGGAAAAGCGTTTCATGACCCCTTTAAAGGACGCCTGCAGAGGAAAGAAACTTTTTTTAAGCAGCATAGATTGAAAAAAGAATGTTATAAAACGAATTTACAACGAAGAGAAAAAATTGTAATGTTATATTTGCGGCGGAAAAAGAATTTATAGGTTGCGGGCATCTTCCAACTCCGATTCCATCAGACCCTGTCTCCGGATGAATATGACACTTCAATACTTCGCTCTCGGCAAAAGGGTTTATTCACTCACTCATTGCCTTGGGGGGTTTTGGGATCGGGGGACGGTCAACAGCGAGGCCGGGGGAGAGTCCGATATAGCAGCTTCTCCGAGTCCCAGCGGTGGTCGTCCACACCGCGTCATGGGGACGTCGTCGTCCAGGGTCGCTGTCCGGTCCGCTTGTCGAGTCCGCCACTCGACGTAGTGCCCGCACTCCCTGCGCCAGCGTCCGGCGCCGTCCGAGCGCGCCTCCATGACCGGTCCCTTGTGAAGTCGGCAGCCCAAGCCCTCTTCCTTTGTCTCCGTTGCCCTCTTAAGACCTTCCAAGTCCTTGTCCCGCCGACCGTCCAATCGGGAACCTTGCTGCGACCGACCCTCCGACGTCAGCGCTGGGTGAGGGGGCGCTTGCCCCATTCCTCCCGGAGAGCTCGGACGTTCCGCGACAGGACGGCGACGTGAAACGGGAAGGTCACGGGGAACGAAGGAGCGCCCGACAATACGGCGGCGGGGACCGGCAAGGTCACGGAGAGCGGAGGAGACAGGGGGAGGGTCCCCACACCTCCCCTCCCTCAAGGCTCGGACCCCGGGGGGCTTGATGTTGCGTGGTCCCCAGGACCCTTGGCAGGGAGCTCGTTCAGCTGAGTGTCACCGATGACGACGAGCACCCTCGATGATGATGATGGCATCAAACCAAGCAGGTCAGCCGTGAACGTCCATTCACTGGGAAGCTCGTGACCGACGGAGCACGGTCCACGAACTGGTCCGGAGCACCACAGCTCACAACACGGACGGGCACTCAGGCACACACAACACGCCGGCTCTTAAAGTTCGCTTCCGTCCCTAATGTAGCAGACAGCGAATCGCGCAAAAACGAATAGCGGCACGCTATATCAGACAGCGAGACGAAAGCAAAATCTTTCGATCGTTGGACATGCCACGATATAAAAACAAAACTTTTCATTTCAATACTAACGGGCAGGCAATCATCAAGAACGTCAAGCTACACGTTCAAGAGGTACATAAGAGGAAATCTATTCCTGAACTAAAAAGCGTGATCACTCGTTGTATGCTCAAATCGTACATACGCCCACTATACAACATTTGCTCCTATCAAACTCAACCGCATTCTTTTAAAACAGTAAGCAATCTACCAGAGCGTCAGAACCGCACAGCTCTGACAACAATGTTAATCTCCAACACACTCGCGAAGAACGCACAAAACCTCAAAAATTAAGAATAACCTTCGTAAAACAGAAACGGTCACAAATCCAGTCCCGTTCGCGAGGTGCGACTCGAAAAAACACACTGCCAACAACCCATGACGGGCACTCATGCACTCCGCGTTCACGCTACCCGAGCTACAAACACGCTACAGCCAAGCTACGCAGCACGCCTTCATCAGAAGGGGTAATCACCTTACTGAGAGGCCGTTGTTCCGTGGTACCGGCCACTTACGCCAGTACAAAGGGAACAGTACCTGGATCGTGCGAACAGCAGATCTCATTGGACAGCCTATTTACAAAGCTATGTCCGTAACGTATGGGCATTTACCAGACGTTACCGCTTCACCGCTCGGAGGTGACCACCCAACAGGAGCGACGAGCGCGTAACGGCGGTCCGCACCGAACCCCGCACGGGCTCGATAACCGCGACAAGCGCATCGACGCACGTTAGAGTTCTCCCTCGGCCAAACCCCGACACCGCATAACTAAGAAGTCTTCCAGCTGATGTCAAGGCCGGCCGGGATCGAGCAATAAAGGTACGCCGTCAACGCGACTCGCGACTCTTCGACGTTCTCGAATCGAGCAACGTGTCCGCATACAAGCGCAGTAGGTTACGCACAAAGCTCGCCCCCAGCCAAGTTATCACGCCGCATGACTGAAAAGTCTTCTTGCGACTGTGAGGACAGGCAGGGCCCGAACAATTAAGTATCCCACATTCGCACCTCTCAACTTCCGCGCAACGAGCGCAATACCAAAATGCCAAATTATCTAACCGGCCAGTCTTGGAGATGGACGAGCTAATAAACTATATTTGCTCTGCATAAACAGTTTCCGCAGCGTCGAAGTGTCTACAGCATTTACCGCCGCATTCCAACACCCGCTACCCATTCATGCAAAGGCTGCAGTTAGTACAGCGACGGGCTGACCCAACGCACAACAGTCTCTAAAGCCTCGAGAATGCTTGGCTTTCTCGCTCGTAACTTTAAGCCTGTACCACGTTCCTTGAAAGAGAGACTTTATTTTTCGCATGTCCGCTCAA